ATAGTCTCGTTGCATGAGTTGAAATATTTTTTTTTATATCAATAAATATATCTTAATAAGTTTTTCTCATTAAAACATAAAATTAAGAGGTTTAAGGTCAAAAAACATCAATAACAATAATAGATGCGATCTTTGTCTTATTGTTTAGACCACGTCCAACATTAAATACTTTGGAACAATTTGTTAAAAGTGCTGATGAATCAAATATTCATTTAAGTTCAATTGATAAAATAAAAACTCTAATTAGTGAATGTCATATATGGAATGAAAAGTTTGAACAAATGCAACAAGGTGAACATTATCCATTTTTATCTTCATATGAACAATTATATGATCAAGCTCGATATTTTCATATTGATTTGGAACCATTAAAATTAATTGAACAAATTATTTCACAAGCACGTTCATGGCTTGACAAAACACAAACAGTTTTTCGTCGACCAGATTCAAATTTAACTTTAATTGAGGTTGAAATTTTAAATAAAAAAATAAAAGAAACAAAAATTTTATTTTTTTGTTATATAGATGATTACACCACGTATAAGTGTTGCACCAAAAACAACAACAAAAAAACGACAAGCTTCAAAACGAATAACAGTTGATGGACCAATTAATGAATCAATTGGAATTTTAGATGATACCATCGCTAAAATACTTGCTAGTGATGAGAATGATCCGAAAACTGTGGTAAGGAGAAGTTAAATTAACTTTTAAAATTCTTCAAATATATCAGATGATGAAATTTTCATAGATAAACTATGGTAGCAAGATTATGCTTTTAACTTTTTAAAAAAAGGTGGAAAAAAACACAGCCATCTCTTATTTGAAGGTCACCGTGTTCGGTTTTTTTAAAAAATCTTGCTATAGAATGCCTTCGATAGAAAATTCTGTTGACTATTAAAATCACTCTAAATATGTTGTGATTAATTTTTTTTTTTGATCGTCTTATTTACTCAGATTTTTTTATTTTCTATTTAGTATAAAGTTTATCGAGAAGCAACAATGAAAGAAATTGAATGTCTTAATGAATTACGTGAAAATAATCAGAAGAAACATTTAGATTCATCATCAACATATTGCATATGTGAAAAATCATATTCTGATTTAATGCTTCAATGTGATTTATGTAATGAATATTATCATCGTACGTTAATATAATGTTTTTCTTTTTCTAATGAAAAGCTTTTTTTTGTTCTTTTTTGAAAAGGTCATTGTTTACCTTATCATGGCTCAGACGTTAATACATCAGTATGGTGGATATGCGATTTTTGTATTCGATCACGAAGACCACGCCTACAAGATGTAGTTAAACTTCTTGCAAATTTACAGAAATTAACAGTTCGATTACCTGAAGGTGAAATATTACAATGTTTAACAGAACGAGCTATTGCATGGCAAGAAAAAGCCGAGTAAAATAATAGAAAAAACAAACAAACTTTAGAGAATATTTATGTTGATGAATTTTTCTTTTGTTTTAAGAGCATTTCTTGCTTCACCTGTTCTACGCGAATTGAGTACGGTCAAACAAGAAAATAAAATTATAAAGGTAAGATTCAATGTACTATATACTATACAATTGTTTTCAGTCTTGCAATATGAAATATCTATTTAAATACAACTATGCCGAATATATTGTTGAAGTGTATTTTCATCAATATGATTTTTTTTAGTCTTAAAAGTAAAGCAATTGATATTACCAAGATTCAATAGCTTCGTTTTTTAATTGTCATAGAGGAGTGTTGAATTAGGCTCTTGAATCTCCATGAAATCCATTTCATATTATAGATTATATTGTTTTAAGTATAGAAACAAGTTTTTCGCCTTATTGAAGGTTTATTTCATCAAAACTCAGGATATTTCCAATGACTTTTCAATGCTAATCTCTAATTGAGTTAAACCGATTATGGCTCTTAAGTATACTTTTGAATAGATATTTGTTGCTATTTCTACAATGAGATCAAATTTAGATATTGTATGCTATTCATTTGTCATAAAGTCTTTCATCGAAGATTTGATTTATTAAACAAAAAGTTTTAAAACATTATTTTGTTTATATTAGGATGAATTTGTCAATGATCTAAACAAACAACAATCACGAAATTTTGAATCTGAAAGTAAGTTTTATTTTCATTTTGGTTTTAAATCTTGATATTTTTCTTCATATAGCATCTCGTTCATTAAATAATTTGGCTGAGAATCAATTAGAAAATTTACTTATTGAAGGTGGTCTACTAGAAATTTATGTTGATCAAATAAAATTACTGACAAAATTAGTTAATTCATCACGACGTTCAAATGTATCATCAGATGTATGTTTAAATATAATTGAATAGATCATAAAATAAAAACGATTTCTTGTTCTCCCTGTTATTATTAGAAACCAAAAACTGCTCGTTCACAAACAGAAAAAACTAAATCAACAACAATACGTAAACGAAAATCATATGAAATTCTTTCTAAAACAGGTATTAAAACAAAAACAAAAAAAAAGATATTTTTTTCTAAAATTTTATTGTATTCTTAAAGAAAAACCTGTACGACGTAAACGTTCTCGTAAATCAATATTATCTGATCAACGTTCATCAGATAGTCAGTTAGGTACAACGGCACCTGTTGTTTATGTTTCATCAATGATTGATATTCAACAAACATCAATAAAATCATCACCTAAATCTGATATTGATCATGATAATAATCCATTACTTATATCTGATGATGACAATGATCAAACAAAAAAAGGAACTGTTGTTGGTGGAGTTGAAGATGACTGTGCAGTTGATGGTGGAACATGTTTAAAACCTAGTGGATCATCAATTAAATGTAAATATAATTGATTTTAAAAGAAGTTTTCTTTTTTTTTCATATTTGATAATAAAATTTTAAAGGGGTTTGTTGTGATGCATGTGAACGATGGTTTCATCTTGTTTGTGTTGGTTTAACAAGTGTCAAGAAAAAAGAAGAATTTAAATGTGCACGATGTAAACAATTACCAATATCAACAGTATCATCATCGACATCAACTCCAACAATGATTGCTACTTAATAAAACCAAAAACAATTCGTTTGCAATTAAATTAAATCTCTATCTATCTGACTGTATTTTTCTTTTTCGTCGTTTGTTTTCGTTCATAATTTAAATTTATTTCGTACTCGTGTCAGATAGACGAAAGAATAACATATTTCAACAGGCCATATGAATAGTCATGATTGATCTTGTCTTAGATGACTCGAGAAAACAAAGAAACAAAAAGATTTCTATTTGTTGTTGTTTTGTTTTTCTGTTGATTTGGTCTTGATATTCATCTTTTTGTTTTTCGGGATATTGACAAAATCGTTTACTGTAGATAGAAATTCTTTATTTGTCTGTTTCTGTATGTGTGTGTGTGTGCGTGCGTGCGTATGTTCCGTGTATGTTGTTCAAGAAGAAATAGAAACACAAAATATTACGCTTTGAAAATGAAAAATTAAATCATATATGAAATTTGACTGGTAAATAATAATTTTATGTTGTTATGTCTATGGCTTATAAGAAAACATTTGATTTTGAAAAAAAGGAATAGTCAAGGTTATGGACTAAATAAAAATATTTGAAACTATGTTTCTCTTTGAAATGTTTTATAAAGGATGATCAGGTTAAAATTGCATTTTTTTTGAACTTTCTTTTTTAGGGATGTTCCATTGCCAAAGTTTGGTTAGAAAGAACCTATTTGGTCAAATATACTTTTTTTGTGTTAAATGATTGATATAAATTATTTATTCATTGATGATACATCGTCATTAGAATCTGAGGAGTTACAGTTTTAATAATGTTGACTCAATCTAAGTTATTGACCTTTCTCATCCCCATTTCATGTTCTTTCTAATCTCCTGTCTCTTCTCTTTATTTAAATGTCGTTTATGGATGACCTCTTTCATTTTCATAGTCAAGTTATAGACATCAATAATCAATTTTTTTGGTATGAAAATATTAATAATTTTTCAATCAGTTTCCCTCTTTAAATTTATGTCTTCTTAGATCATAAAAACTATACTATTATACATATAACATTACACTCTAATGTGTATGTTGGTTTACATACATTAACAATATGTCTGTATTATGTTTCTCATACTTTAGGTTACTGAATTCAAATATATATAGATCGATAACAATGCTGATATTTTTAATTTCATTTTGTCTTTCAAAGAATATTCTCTTTATTCTTTGTCTTCATAAAATAAAACTATGCGATGAATCTATTTTTCATGTACTTACTTTAATAAGAAGTGTTAGCTTATGGATAAAAATGTGACATATTTTTATCTCACATCGGTCTTTATTGAAACAATTCTTACTTTATAGAATTTTAAAGAATTAAAATCTATAATTCACTGTCATTTATAAATTCTTGTATTGAAAATTTGATATATTGCATTAACTAGACCAAAAATAATTGTTAATTCATCAGAATATAATCTTATACCTGATGAATTGGCTACTATGTGTTTATACATCAGGAAATAGTATATCCATAGGACGAACTCAGTAATAAGTAATGTGCAGTTATGTTTGTTAGTCAAAAAGCTTCCACTTTGATGTGATATCATTATTAATATAAATTATTGTTATGACAATTTTTGAGAAGTTTGAAGTTAAATCTATCGATATTATTGAGATAAAATTTCGATTCATTATATAAGTTACGTTCATCGATACTTGATTCACTTGGTTCTAGACTGATAGGATAGAGATATGAGAACAAGTGTTATCTAAATATAAATATGAATTTAAGTATATATTAGATAAATACAAAATGTGACTTGATTATATGTCAACAATTCGTTTGATACAGATAATTTTTCGTTATATAAGACTTGATATTTTGTGCTTGTGAAGAAAAAAACCAATTTTGAATATGGCACACTTGACGAATGAAGATCACGTATTCTTAAATTACTAGCATGAATTTGTATACGTTCCAAAAAGAAAAAGCTTGATTAGAAAATAGAATTAATGAAAGTCAATTGAATGGAATAACTTCCATCTTTTTCAATCGATCAAAACATTGAATAAAACATTCACTGGTATCAACTGTTGTTGTCCAACCATATTGACGTGCTTTAGTCATGTCACCATGATCATCAAATGTTCGACCAAGAACGAAATCTAACAAAGAAAATATTTCAAATTTGATTAATTCGGCATGAAAATAAATTATTCCTCACCAATAAATTCCCAAGTAGCATAGTTAAAAACTGATTCATCAAGTTCATTACGTTTAGCAAGACGAGACCATATATCTTTATTTTCTGGCATATATTTTGCAAGAGATAGTCGTAAAATACCAATATCTCCTATTTTAATATCGTTCTGTGTATTAAATTTTTGTTCATAAGGAGTAAAATCAAAATATCTAAATTATTTTAAAAAAAAATTGTAAAATTTAATTTATTGAAAAAAAAAAAATTAATTAAATGATATTACTTTTCAATTTTTGGCCATAATGTTCGAAATTTGACTTCATCACCGTTATGTATATTAAATATTTCATTTTGAATTTTATCATTTGTTGATGACCATAATTGAAAACGTGCATTATTTAATGCATCGGAATGATCAACTATTGAATTCCAAGCAATTTCATTACCAGGAAAATATAATGGTTGACTTTTTTCTTTTTGAATGCATGCATAAAGTGCAAGACTAACCGCAAAATTCATAAAATTTCCTCTCGATACACCAATAATAATATTAGGTCGTGTGATAATATATTTCCAACCATTTTTTTCAGCATATTCTTTAAGAAGATCTTCTTGTATATAATAAAAGTTCGAACCTTTATGACGAGGAGCATCTTCAGTATAGGGACAAGATGCCAGATATTCACCACCTTTATGAACACCATAATACTAAAACAAAAATAATTTTATTAATTTTCAATTAAAATTCATAAGAAGTTCTTTTTACTTTATAACCTGTTTGAAGTAAAACACATTTTATTTGTTTACCAGCTATTTTAACAGTAGCATCAAGTGCTTTTTGAAATAGTATTGTATTGACTTGATCTAATTCTTTTTCATCTTTTTTTTCAATATATGTATAATGATATACATGTGTAATAGATTCTCCACCTGCTTTAGATAATTCTGTAACAATTTCATCAACATTAGCTTGAAGGATATCAATGGAAATGAAATGTACTCGATCATCTTCAACGTCTAATTGTGTTGGTCGTCGAGAAATACAAATAATTTTACTCCATTCATTTCGAGGTTGTTCAACTAATAAATCAATCATTGCTGTACCTGATATTCCATTGGCGCCCCATACACAAGCAACATTTGATGGCGTCAATGTCATGTTTCTTTATACTTATATTTTATTCTTGTTTGCGATGATATGTTTATTTGTGATTTAATCTTTACATTGATGAAAAAAATACACTTAACGTACACTGGTTACACTTCATTAACTCGTGTTACTGAGTTCAATTGTCAAATAACAATATAATAATCATTCGTTAGACAAACGAAAAAATAGTGATTGAAAATCATATTAAAGGCTTTCGTTTTGTTTTTTCTAACAAGGAAACGATCTTGCAATCTGTGATATTAGATTATCAGTGAGAGAATCAAGTTAAGATATTTTAGATTAAAATACGTTGTCATAAGATTGAATCGGTGACTGTAACTCCCAATGAATGATTACGAATAATCATGCTTTTAGACTTCTTTTAGTCTTATCGAGATTTAATAATTTTCATTACAAATGAAGAGTTACAAATGATGAAGACCGACTGCTTAGTAAGTATTTTTATGATTTTAGTTTTCACTAGTTGTGATTTTTCTTCAAATCGAAAATGTGCGCACACCAATTATTAATATTAAATGACGATTAAAAGTTTAAAGATACAGTTCTAGAGAAAAATGTATGCATTGTATTACACTATGTTGTAGATATTTGATATCTAAAATTCCATGACTTGTTATGTCGATATGAATCTTTCTGAAAGGAGTTTAAGTTTTTATTTAGCTAATTTACGTTAGGTTGTTACAGAAATTAATATTTTAGTATTTGACGATCGTGATATAACTTGTAATATACCAGTAATATCAATTCAAGTAAAACGTGAAGAATGATGTGAATTATTTAGTCAATGAAAAAATTTTGAAGTATTTGTACCATTATGAATATGAAAATAAAAATTCTTTTGTATCAAATTCTTTTGTATCTGTCTCTTTATTTTTATTATTAACCTATGAATTCTTTTCTTTCTCCTAATCATAAATAAAACTAGTTTTTTTTAAAAATCTTTTATGCTTGACCACAATCCGCTATAACAACATTGGCTCGTGGTGTGCCTTCTTGTGTACCACAACTTTCCATTTTTTTGACAATATCGTGACCTTGCACAACACGCCCGAATACAACATGTTTACCATCAAGCCTACGAAATATGATAATATTTTAGAAAAAAAGAAAGGAATCAAGTTTATTTTGATTTTCTATACCATGGTGTAGGAGCCACAGTGATGAAAAACTGTGAACCATTTGTATTTGGACCTGAATTTGCCATCGATAATAAAAACGGAACATCGTGTTTTAAACGAAAATTTTCATCAGGAAATTGATCACCATAAATACTTCGACCTGAAAAGATATTAGTAACGGAAAGAGTTGTAAAATTAATTAACCTCCTGTGCCATCGCGTCGATCAAAATCACCACCTTGAACCATAAATTGAGGAATTATTCGATGAAATGGACAACCGCGAAAACCAAAGCCTCGTGCACCTGTACATAATTGTCGGAAATTTTCTTAAAAAAAAATTTCAATGGTGTATTTGTTAGATGAATAATAGAAACTACTTACCTGCTGTTTTTGGTGTAATATCGGAAAAAAGCTAAACATTAAGAACAAAACAACGAGATTAATATTGAAATCAAAGAAAACAAACCTCAAAAATGACGACTCCTTGTGGCTGTCCGCCAATAGCTATGTTAAAAAACACTTTTGGTCGTTGCATCTTTCAAATGAATAGCAAAAAGAAAGCAAAAAGTAACGCTTGTGAGCATATAATGATTCGGTTCAATGAATGTATGACCGAGTGCACGAAAGGGTAGGACACTCAAAGTAGAAAGAAAATGACTTACATTCTATTCAATCGTTCTCAATCAAGCCGTTGATATGTAAGATATTGATCTGACCCATAGTAGTACTTATATGGGAGAGACCGAAACGAATAAGAAATCCTTCATTCGTATTCAATTCGACCAAGGTTGTAATCCATTTGCTTCAGTTCGCCTCACACTTACAGAAAAAAATACTTTGATTTTCATATGTATTATTTACTATTCACTTTCTAATGTCTTTTTCTGAGCAAGCTGCTTATTTTTCTATTTTTCTGTTGTAGTTACCCTTTCTATGTTTGATCAATTCATATATATTCAAAGAACGTTGATTTGTTTAAAAACAAGTACAATAAAAAGTTGATTTTATGCAATAAAATGACTCATAAAAGTTCAATATTAATGAATCTATACCAATGATATAATTGATAATTGAAAAATCGGAATTTCGTGCACCGAGTGCACCTATCAAAACTGAACGAGCAAAGTATGATTGCTAAGAAAATTAGCCGAAAAATTTTATAAAAAACAAATAATAGATTGTTTTCGTAAAAAAATACTATTTGATAGCAAAATAGTTAAACAGATGTAAACGAAATAATAAGTAAGAATCATTCAGTAATCTTCAGATCAATACAAATATGATTTGCTTTTTTAAATACGTATATCATTCAAAATCAAAATATCTTTTTATTAATAAATTTATCATATGAAAAGATTGTTGTGAGCTACGAAATAAATATTTATCAAAAACAAGTGTTGATCGTGTCACAGAGTATGTAAATTGTGGTATACAACTGTATCATTTGATGCACATTCGTGACAAACACTGCTGTTGATATAAATAAGTTCTGATCTACTGTTCTTTTCTTTTCTATCTATGTAACTTATTTGTGTCAACTATCAGTTTCACATAACATTATTAACTCAATTTAATTAGTGTAAATTATACAGTAAAACCTAAAAGTTTGACACTTCGCACTTATGTTCCGAATTTCTCAGCTATTTTTATAGTAAAACATCAAGGGGAAACAGCGGAGACTTCAGTCGTGAAGTCCCATGAAGTCTTGAAAGTCTTTCGAAGTCTTCTGAAGTCGCTCGAAGTCTCTTGGAGTCTTATGAATTTCCATAAAGTCTCTTGAAGTCTCTAAAGTCTCATAAAGTCTGATGAAGTCTCTTCAAGTCTGATGAAGTCCTATGAAGTTCTATGAAGGCTTTTGGAGTCTTGTGACCTTATAAAGACACTGCGGCTGAAGTCTTTTGAAGTCTTGTGAAGTCCGATGAAGTTTTGTGAAGTCTTATGAAGTCTTATGAATTCTTGTAAAGTCTCTGGAAGTCTCTGAAGTTTCATGAAGTCCGTGAAGTCTCAAGAAGTCTGTGAAGTCTTTTGAAATCTAATGAAGTCTTCAGAAGTCTCTTGAAGTCTTTTGAAGTCTTGAAGTCCGCTGTTTCCCCCCTTGTAAAACATCCTTAAATTGATAATTCCATGATTCTAACATGTCACCTTTTGTTTATCTCAAATCAACGAGAAGGTTTTGAAAACATATTTCGAATAATTAGATCAAAATGTGTTCATGCATTCTTCATAACCTTCATTGTCGTCACTGATGCTCATGCTAAATGGTTTATACACGAAATCAATCGGATTCTTTCTTGAACTGATCTATATTTATTGCTTTCTGATCTTTTTCATTTAACTTTTACAAAAATAAAATAAAACTATTACAATTCAGAACAGTATGCAAACGAATAGCGTTGTTATTTGTGATCCAAATTGCTCGCCTTTAATAGTTTTCATTCGCTGATTCAGTATTTCGTGTAAAACAGCAATTGTTCCTTTCTTGCGAATAATTGCCTGATCAAATGTATGATAACATAAGCTAAATTGAGACCAAATATCAAAATCTGCCTGGTATGATCTTAAAATATAAAAATATTTCGAGAAAAAATAAACCAAAACTTACGATGGAGTTATATGCATTACATAGTTTTCTACGTCATGAATACTAAAACAGAAGCAAAATTTTATACTATTAATTTCGTATTACTCTGTTAAGTCTTAATCAATATCTTTTTTGAAATTTATACAACATCTAGGCAAATCGCTTACATCTCATAAAATAGCAGAAAAGAACAAAAGCTGTTTTTTTTAATACTATGTAGATTATCTATCTTGACAAGTTTAGATTTTTTTACTTCTTGCTTTAAATTTAATTTTACCTATTCATACTGTACCAAGTTAATCATCAGCTTTAAAATGGATTCGGACATTGATGTTGTAAAGGACTCATTTACTCTGTGAACTAAGATATTTGTTTATCAGATAAAAAAATTAGAAATATTAAATATATTCAGCTAAGAACTCTTTTCTTGATGTATTAACATCAGGTTTTTATGTAGTCATTTTGAGTCAAATACAATAAATTGATTGAAGAATCAGTTTTCTATTGAAAAAAAATTCGTCCTCAAAGGTTAAAGAGAAAATAAGATTCGTCGACCTTATTCGATCATTTTCAACAACAAACCAAGTCAATGAACTGATATATAGTAAATAATACATTAAACTGAGTAATAATAAATGAAATAATACGTAATTTAACGCTATCAACTAATACAAACATTAACTTATAATAACATCATAGTCTAATGACATATAACAGAAAATAAAATTTGAATGATTGATTATTGAGTTTATTTGGTATTGTAAAGAATTTTTTTATTTGCCATGATTAAAATAGTGTATATGATGTCTTTAGATTTTTGTTAACACAAAATTTGTTACTATTAGATTATGATGTTCTTATAGGCTCATGTTTGTATTAATTAATGATGTTAAATTATGTATTATTTCATTTATTATTTTAAACAGTTCTTCATTATGAGATATATAA